ATCAAAAGAATGTAACTCCCAGGGTTTGAGATAAGAACAGTCCAGTAACTAAGGTATAACACAAAACTACTACTGCTACCACCAATAATAATAATGATAAGGGAAATAACAAGGAGAGAGAATACAATTCCTCGCCATCAGCTGACTGATACCCACCCCAACCCAAGCAGCAATCTGGGCCTTCTAGGCAACTCCCCCCAATTTATATACTGGGCATAAGGTGCTGTGGTATGGAATACCCCTTTGGCTAGTTTGAGTCAGGTGTCCTGTCTCTGCTTCCTACCAGCTTCTTAAGCCCTTCCTCACTGGCAGAGCATAATACTGAAAAAGTCCTTGACTGTAGTAAACATTACATAGCAACAACTAAAAACATCAGTGTTATCAGTGTTGTTCCCAGGCTTAAAGTCAAAAACACAGCACTGTACCAGCTACTAAGAAGGAGAAAAATGAATGCTATGGCTGAACCCAGGACATTCACTTATGACTCAAATCTCATCAGTGCAGCCCTCAGCCCCAGGGACCAGTGGATCATGCAGTGAGTGAGCGAAGGACATAGGCAAATCCTGGCATGAGCACCAGTGCGACTATAGAATGAAAGAATCATAGAATAGTTAGGGTTGGAAAGGACCTTAATATCATTTAATTCCAACCCCCCTACCATGGGCAGGGACGCCTGACACTAGACGATGTCACTCAAGGCTCTGTCCAACCTGGCCTTGAACACTACCAGGGATGGAGCATTCACAACTTCCCTGGGCAACCCATTCCAGTGCCTCACCACCCTTACAGTTAAGAACTTCTTCCTTATATCTAACATGAACTTCCCCTGTTTAAGTTTGAACCTCATACCTATTGTCCTATCACTACAATCCTTGATGAAGAGTCCCTGTCCAGCATCCTTGTAGGCCCCCTTCAGATACTGGAAGTCTGCTATGAGGCCACTATGACCCAGTCCCATCCTGTAGCCTTCTCTGTATGTACATAGGGGGGCACTCCTGGGATTCAGGGGGTATTTTTATTTTCCCATTACAGTGGGAGCTAAAAAGCTCTTTTTCTTTTGAGAAGCTTCAAATATTGACTGGATATGGCTGATCCTTCCATCAGCTAGTATAGTGCCACCAGATAGATAAATCTTGCATGCATCCGTAATTACTGCTTAGCTTGTAGCTAAGCAATGCAGTGCCACTGATCTGCAGAACTCATCAAAATCCATATAGGAATGTATGAAATCATATTGGATGTATCAGAAAAGTGCATAACATCATCCATTTTCATCCTTCTTTGTTCATAAGGAAAAAAAATAATTTCTTGATCTCTATTCATATTCTTGGGTTAACTTAAAATTTAATCATCAATTGTAACACCATTTTAAAGGCTGCTCTTCATGTAGGGAATAGATTTATTTCTTATAATAGGCCAGCAAATTTCTACCACCCTTACTTGATCTGCCCCTACTAAAATCCCTATTAAAAGCATGAAAAACTATTGCTTAAGGATTATAAAACTCAGCATGGAAAGGTCTGGTGGTTAAAGCTCCTGACTGCTATTTAGGGAACCCAAAGTGACTTCCAAGTGCCACCACAGCCTTCCCATCATGTCCTCAGGCAAGTCATCTATCCCCTTAATACTTCTATTCCTCCTAAAACAAGTGTGCTTAATAGCATTTTCCCACTCTGGTGGGAGGTTGGGAGAACGCATCAGTCATGCTCAGCAAGAGTTGAGGTGCTCCAGCAGCAGAGAGTGCAGAAACATGGGTTGGGTAAGGGCGATGCTTGTCTAACCAGCCATCTGCTCCAGATGCTCTCCTCCCCTTCTGCAGCCAAGAGGAAGCTCAGCAAAAGCAGTTATTGGCAATAAAGTCCACACTATTTGGAAGAACTGATGTTTTTCAGACCTAACACTGCTCTGAGCCAGCTCCATGCTCCCACTGTAAGTGAAGTGCTCCTGGGTCGGTCCGTACTTCTCCCACCAAGCAGACTGGGACTTCTGGTTTGCCTGCCAGACTTACTGTAGCACCTTGGCCTGCAGATAGCTCCCAAGAGACGTGATCCCTGGCAGGTCCATGGGCAGACAGCAGAGGCTGCTTCTGTCAGGGATGTGTCCCCAGGTCACAGGGGAAGGTCTCTGCACAATCTCAAGTACATGGACAGTAGCTGTCCCCAGCTCTCATGGAGGAACATGCCTTGGGGGTGGTGTCCTCAGCTCATCTCCTGCAAAGCCACATGTTCTGGTTTAAGCCCAGCCAGTAACTCAGAACCACGCAGCTGCTCACTCACTCCCCCCCCACTGACGCCCCCCCATTGATACCCCCATTGACCCCCCCATTAATGCCCCCCCCTGCCCCATTGATCCCCCCTTATTGACCACCCCATTGACCCCCCCATTGATCCCCATTGACCCCCCCATTGATGCCCCCCCCGCCCCATTGATCCCCCCTTATTGATGCACCCCATTGACCCCCCCATTGACGCCCCCCCATGCCCCATTGACACCCCCATTGATCCCCTCCATTGATCCCCCCATTGATCCCCCCCCATTGATGCCCCCGCCCCATTGACCCCCCTATTATGCACCCCATTGACCCCCCATTGACCCCCCCCCATGCCCCATTGATACCCCCATTGACCCCCCCATTGATGCCCCCCCTGCCCCATTGATCCCCCCTTATTGATGCACCCCATTGACCCCCCCATTGACGCCCCCCCCATGCCCCATTGATGCCCCCATTGACCCCCCCATTGATGCCCCCCCCACCCCATTGATGCCCCCCCCTGCCCCATTGATCCCCCCTTATTGATGCACCCCATTGACCCCCCATTGACCCCCTCATGCCCCATTGATCCCCCCATTGACCCCCCCATTGATCCCCCCCCACCCCATTGACCCCCCCCTGCCCCCCTGATCCCCCCTTATTGATGCACCCCATTGACCCCCCCATTGACCCCCATTGATCCCCCCATTGACCCCCCCATTGATCCCCACCCCATTGATCCCCCCCATGCCCCATTGACCCCCCTATTGATCACCCCATTGACCCCCCCATTGACGCCCCCCCCCCCATGCCCCATTGACCCCCCATTGACCCCCCCATTGACCCCCCCATTGACCCCCCATTGACCCCCCCATTGACCCCCCCATTGACCCCCCATTGACCCCCCATTGATGACCCCATTGACCCCCCATTGATCCCCTCCATTGACCCCCCATTGACGCCCCCCCCATGCCCCATTGATCTCCCCATTGACCCCCACTATTGATGCCCCCCCCGCCCCATTGACGCCCCCCCCTGCCCCATTGACCCCCCCATTGACCCCCCCATGCCCCATTGATGCCCCCCCATTGACCCCCCCTATTGATGCCCCCCCCCGCCCCATTGATGCCCCCCCCATGGCGCCCGGGTGCCGGCACCGTGTTTGCTGTCCCCAGGCCAGGGTCAGTGTGGGGCAGACACGGAGGCGCCAGGACAGGGACACGGGGGGCATTGGGACATGGGGTATTATGGGATGGGGGATATTATGGGATGTGGGGTGTGGGGTATGGGGTATATGGGGTATGGGGTATGGGGTATGGGGAATGGGGTATATGGGGTATGGGGTATATGGGGTATATGGGGTATGGGGTATGGGGTATGGGGTATGGGGTATATGGGGTATGGGGTATGGGGTATATGGGGTATGGGGTATGGGGTATGGGGGGTATGGGGTATATGGGGTATGGGGTATAGGTGTATGGGGTATATGGGGTATGGGGGTATGGGGGGTATGGGGGATATGGGGTATGGGGTATATGGGGTATGGGGTATAGGGGGTATGGGGTATGGGGTATGGGGTATGGGGTATGGGGTATGGGGTATGGGATATGGGGTATGAGGTATGGGGTATGGGGTATGGGATATGGGATATGGGGTATGGGGTATGGGGTATGGGGTATGGGATATGGGGTATGGGGTATGGGGTATGGGATATGGGGTATGGGATATGGGATATGGGGTATGCGATATGGGGTATGGGGTATGGGATATGGGATATGGGGTATGGGGTATGGGATATGGGGTATGGGGTATGGGGTATGGGATATGGGATATGGGGTATGGGGATATGGGGATATGGGGTATGGGGTATGGGGTATGGGGTATGGGATATGGGGTATGGGGTATGGGGTATGGGGTATGGGATATGGGGTATGGGGTATGGGGTATGGGGATATGGGGTATGGGGTATGGGGTATGGGGTATGGGGTATGGGGTATGGGGTATGGGGTATGGGGTATGGGGATATGGGGTATGGGGTATGGGGTATGGGGTATGGGGTATGGGGTATATGGGGTATGGGGTATGGGGTATGGGGTATGGGATATGGGGTATGGGGTATGGGGTATATGGGGTATGGGGTATGGGGTATGGGGTATGGGATATGGGATATGGGGTATATGGGGTATATGGGGTATATGGGGTATGGGGTATGGGGTATATGGGGTATGGGGTATATGGGGTATGGGGTATGGGGTATGGGGTGTATGGGGTATGGGGTATGGGGTATGGGGTATATGGGGTATGGGGTATATGGGGTATGGGGTATGGGGTGTATGGGGTATGGGGTATGGGGTATGGGGTATGGGGTATTATGGTATATTATGGTATATTATGGGATATGGGCTATTATGGGATGTGGGTCATGTGATGTGGCAGTGTCCTTGGCTGGGGGGAGGGGGGGACAACAATAACACCAGGCTGTCCCTTTGAGGTCAAAGGTCACCCCTCCCCCCCTCCCCTCCCCCAACAAGCACAATCCCACCCCATTTTCCTGCTTTTAGCCCTAATTTGGGGGTGGGTTCGACGCGGCCCCTCCCCCCCCGCACCCCTCCCCCCCCAATGCAAGCTATAAACCAATCATTAATTACAATAACGTTAATTACAAAGGGGGGGAGGGGGAGGAAGAGTCCAAGAACGGGGGGGATTCGGAAGGGGGAGGGGGGGGGATCCCCCCATTATGGGTGTATGGGGGGGGTGCAGAGGGGGGGGTCCCCCCTTTGTGACGTCACTGGGGGGTCCCCTCGGGGGTCCCATCCAGGCCCCGTTGTTGGAGCTGGGCCCGGAGCACCGCGTTCTCGCTCTTGAGCTCCTCCATCTGCCGAAGGGGGCGGGGCTTAAAGGGAGGCCACGCCCCCCGCCCTTCTCCATTCATTATCCCCATAGACCCCCACATCCCTTATATGGATCCCTATGGACCCCCACATCCCTTATATGGGTCCCCCCCTTATCCCCATAGACCCCCACATTCCTTATATGGATCCCCCCCTTATCCCCATAGACCCCCACATCCCTTATATGGGTCCCTATGGACCTCCACGTCCCTTCTATGGGTCCCCCCTTATCCCCATAGACCCCCACATCCCTTATATGGGTCCCTATGGACCCCCACATCCCTTATATGGGTCCCTCCCTTATCCCCATAGACCCCCACGCGCCTTCTATCAGTACCCCCTTAACCCCATAGACCCCCACATCCCCTATATGGGTCCCCCCTTTCCCCCACATCCCTTATATGGGTCCCCCCCTTACCCCATAGACCCCCACATCCCTTATATGGGTCCCCCCTTTATCCTTATAGCCCCCTTCCTCCCTCCCATACCCTAGCGGAGGGGCGTGGCTTAGCCAAGGGAGGCGTGGCTTAGCGACGCACTGCGCGGGTGCGGGGGGGGGGGCTCGTCGTTGCCAGGCAACCCCAGCAGCAGCCAATGGGAGCGCGGCCGCAGGGAATGAATGGAGGCGGTCGCGCCGTGAATGGGAGTGGGCGTGGCTTAGCGGCGCTGGGGGCGTGGCTTAGAGTGGCGTGCGTACCCCTACGCTCTCTCCCCATTCATAACGCTGGGGAAGGGACGGGATGCAGCGGGCGCTATGGGGCGCTATGGGGCGCTATGGGGCGGGGCTATGGGGGTATTATGGGATGGCAGGGGGCGGTACCTGCTGCCGGAGGAGGTCGTTGTCCATCTGCAGACGCTCCGCCTCCTTGAGGGTCTCCTGCAGCCGTTGGTTGCTCTGGCGCAGCTCCCGGACGTAGTCGCAGGCCTTGGAGAGGATCCCCCCTTTGCTCTGCCCCACACATAAAACCCCATAGGAACAAAGGAAGCCCTATAGGGACCTATAGGGGACCTATAGGAACACACTCCCCCATAGATCCCATAGGACCCCCCCCCATAGATCCTATAGGAGCCCTATAGGAACACACACCCCCATAGACCCTATAGGAACATACCCCCCTATAGACCCTATAGGAACATACCCACTCCCCATAGACCCTATGGGAGCCCTATAGGAACACACCCCCCCATGGATCCTATGGGAGCCCTATAGGAACACACCCCCCCATAGACCCTATAGGAACACACCCCCCCACCATAGACACTATAGGAACACACTCCCCCACCAAACCCAAAACCACCCCCCACCAAACCCTATAGGACCCCCTTCATAGACCCTATAGGGACTCTATAAGAACGCCCCCCCATAGACCCTATAGGAGCCCTATAGGAACACCCCCCCCATAGACCCTGTATGAGCCCTATAGGAAGCCCCCTATAGCCCCATTACCCCCATTCCCCCCATTACCCCCATAGCCCCCATTACCCCCATAACCCCCATTACCCCCATACCCCCCATTACCCCCATACCCCCCATTAACCCCATTACCCCCATAGACCCCATTACCCCCCATTACCCCCATTACCCCCATAGCCCCCATAGCCCCCATAGCCCCATAGCGCCCCATAGGCCCCATAGCGCCCCATAGGCCCTCACCGCGCCGCTCTTGCTGGTGTCGGCGCCGCAGTCGGGGATGATCTTGGAGAGCTGCACGATCCAGTTGTTGATCTTGTCCCGGCGCCGGCGCTCCACTGCGTGGGGGGAGCCATTGGGATCAATAGGAGATCAATAGGGAGCCATTGGGATCAATAGAGAACCATTGGAAATCAATAGGGAGCCAT